AAAATGGGTAAACATCTAATAAGAACATAATTCAGTTCAGATGAAAATATATAGATATAGATATAGACATAGACATAGGTATAGATATACTGTATTTTGCTGCGTATAATGCACATTTTTTTGCCCAAATTTGTGAGGGAAAAATAAGGATGCGCATTTTACATGGGTAGTACTAATTCTGTATCTATATAAATGTTTTTAATTCTTTTATTCATGCTCATGAGTTAAAAGTGTAACTCTAGAAATCAATGATAACTGTATGCAAAATAGTACCCTGGAATACGACAATTGATTTTGTTAAACTTACGACAAACTTGCAATGACAAAGAGCTCTTGGCCTTCTATGGTGCATAAATATCGTAAATTTGTTACCAGTACATAAAATTTCTTGTACTTTGTATCTGTTCTTGTGTTTTGTGATTGTTGGTTACATAACATTTCTTGTACCACAATATGTTAAAAAATAAATGCTAAAATTCCTTTATAACACAAGTACTTAAATGTAAACAAATAAAAATTTGAATTAAAAAATTAAAATGAAAGTTTTTTTCTCCCCTGAAAATTTGGGCCAAAAATGAGGGTGTGCATCACACATGGAAGCACATTATACATGGCAAAATATGGTAGGCATGGAGTCGAACAGTCTAAGTTCTGCTACTGCTTATTAGCTGTTTGACTCAGGATAAGTTATGAATCTCCCCAAGCCTCAGTTTCCTCACTGGAAAATGGGTTAACCTTGCAAGGGCAGCTGTGAGAATCCACAACATAAATGAAGCTCCTGGTGAGGTACTCACATGGCCCTGGAACCCAGCCAAACAGGGACGGTGAGGAACAGTGTTTTTCAAACTGCAGGTATAACCAATGGATCATGAAATCAATTTTGTGCCTCATGATCATCATTTTGTCTTTTATATGAACTAGAATAGAATGGATATAATAGAAAATAAGAGCGCAGAGCAGAGTAAGTGTGTTCTGTCAAATTTTTGTTTCTGTGTGTGTCTGCGCACGTGTGCACGAAATGATACAAAGCAGTTCTACTGCAGACCCCAGTCACAGCATGTTCAAGGCCCTAGCAGAGTGGTTAACCAGCAGGCTCTGGAGTTGGGAATCTCCCTCAATAAATTTGAATCCTGGCCCTGTAGCTTACTTAGTTAAGTGGGTTAAGCTCACTGTGCCTGTTTTTAAATCTGCCAGTTAAGGAGAGAGGCTAAAATGTGTTAAGGATTCCACAAATATCAGGAATTATTATTAATACTTGTGTAACTTGTGAGGGACTGCAACAAGCACCCGAGGAAGGAAATGGGGGACACAGCCTGTCCTCAAGGGGAGGCAGCAAATAGCCAGAGATGTGGAGAGTGCTGAGAAAAAAAGTCAGGGGTCTTCCCAGGGGACTGCAGTGTGTTAGTGGTGTACAGACAGGGGATCGGGAAAGAACCCTGGTCGGAGGGAACCAGAAAACAAAAGAAAAAAACGAGTGATACTCTTTCCTATTGTTCCTTGTGGGACAAACGGTGGCTAGATTTCTCTGTTGTGCTTATGCTTTTCCCTAGAACTGCTATGTGCTCATTTTCTTATTCTTTTCTTTTTATTTTGCTTCAGTCTTTATATTTATATAAATGATTTGGTCTATGATATCAGTAATTAATGTAAAAAAAATTACCAAGGACCACAAAAACATAAGTAGAAATTAAAGAGCCAAGTCCTTTCAGAATGTGTTACTATTTTTACTTAAGTAGAAATAATACCAGACAGGCCAATGCCCCAGTCCTTAATAATCATAGTTACTATTTACTGAGCATTCATTCCTAAAAACCAGGCATGGGGCCATCAACATTTTCTCATCCAGTTAAATCTTCACAGTAAGTCTGTAAGGCAGTAATTACTAGACCTGGTTTAAGGACAAGGAGGCTGAGTGGCTTCATCAAGGCTGCACAGTCATATAAGGCAGGGCCGGATCGTGTGACATACTCAGTCTATGCTCTTAAAAGATTCTGAGTGATTTCCTGGGACCCTTTACACAGTGCACGGTTTCTCCTGACTCTTGTTCTTTAATCAACAAACATTGTGCCTTGGAGACAAAGGCATATAAAGTAAAAAAATAAAGGTTCTGTGTTTACAATGGTTGATGATCATTATCTACATGGATACAAAGCTCGGCACTGTTTTGTAAGCACACTTTGTGGAGTATGTATATAGAGCATGCTCAAAACTAGGGTGGAAACTGATGGAACAGAACCAAAACTGGGTGATGTCAAGGTATATTTAGTCTTCGCTCAGATGTGCTTCCAAAACATTACTGGCAGAGCCAAGAATCATCTAACGTTATTTCTTTATTTATACAGTTCTTTTATGTACACAAGCATACAACCATTTCTTATTAAGAAGCATTAAAAGTAATGCAGGGCACGTTTCTAGATCCTTTCATCCAAGGATATGAAAGTACTTAACAGACACCCACTATTTCTTGCTAAGTAAATCTCTTTAGCCCATTTCAGAGAAGGGTACAATCAAAATGTAAAATTTGGGAATTTAAATTCATATTTTATACTGTGATCACTAAGTTGTGAATCTAATAACCAGAGGAAACCTTTTGATACAAGGATTATACGTGCTAAAAAACTTTTTTCCATTTTCCCTGAAAGGGCTACCTTTAAGACAATTAAAAAAAAAATTCTGGTAAAACACATGTAAAATTTACTATCTTAAGCATTTTTGAGTGTACAATTCAGAGAGATTCAATACATTCAACAATGTTGTAGTACAGCCATCACCACCATCCAGTCACAGAGCTCCTTTTATCAGCAAAACTAAAACTGTACTCATTAAATAGCTCCCCATTCTCTACTTTCTGGCAGTCCAAGGCACCATCATCGAGACACTTCCTATCTCTATGAATTTGACTACTCTAGGTACCTCATATAAGTGGACTCACACAGTATATTATCCTTTGGTGACTGGCTTATTTCAGTTATCATAATGGTCTCAAGGCTCATCCATATTGTTGCATGTGTCCAAATTTCCTTCCCTTTTAAGGCTGAATTATATTCCACTGTACGGACATCACACATTTTGTTTATTCATCCATCAATGGACATATAGGTTGTTTCTATTGTGAGTAACGCCTGGGTTTAAGACCCTGCTTTCAGTTCTTTGGGGTTTATACCTAGAAGTAAAATTGCTGGAACATATAAGTCTATGTTTAATTTTTTGAGGAACATCCATCCTGTTTTTCACGGTGGCCGTACCATTTTACACTTGCACTAGTGATGCACGACAGTTCCAATTTCTCTACATATTGCCAACACTTGTTATTTTTGTTTGTTTGTTTATTTTTTAATATACTATCTATCCTAATGGGCATGAGGTGACATATCATTGTGGTTCTGAAAGGGATACCTTGATTTCAAAATTACTTATGAGTAATTCCAATTATTTTGGAGGTCAGGGATAGGTAGCAATCGCTGTGCTCAATCCTAAGATAGGTCCACATTCCCCTTCTCTTTGGATAACATGTTCTACATGCTTCCCAATGAACAAGCACGTAAGAGTTCTTTATATCCACATGCCAGGAAGCACATTTGCCTGGCTCTTTTTGTCTTGTCTCCTCTCTGTGTTTCTCTTTTCAAGAAGGTGTGTGTTTTTTTCCTCAGCTTCCTTTGATGGCCAGGTGATTGTAGAGTGTAAAATCAAATCAAACCAAACCAAAAAGAAACCTAAATTTAAAAAAAAAATCCAGCATGTCTGGAGCTGAATATATATAAGTGTCAAAGCAGAGGACAGGATAAAAGATGGGAGGCCCCACCCAGGCCAGGGGGCCCTTGGCTACATACTAGAATATAGTAATTTCTCGATAAATATTTCCTAAATTTATGTTGAGTGGATGAATCACAAGGGATGACAGGAGCTCTTATTGTGCATACGAGTATACTCCAATCTCTAGAACAATCCCTGAAAGTTACACTTCTATTAAGAAGTAAAATAAAAGAAAACTGAATCAGAGTCCAGGAAGAGATGGTCAATCCAAACCTCCACCATCACAGCAACCATGTACTTGGGTCTATATGAAGCCCTCCACATGTACAAACCCAGTTAGTCCTTCCAACAGCTCTAGGAGTTGGTACTGCTAGCTGCTTTGTACTGCAGAGAAAACTGAGGTGCAGAGAGATGGAATTCCTTGTCTGTACTACCTACCTAGTTTATATCATTTATTAATAGCTAGAGTTCTAAAAGTCTTCCCAAAGCATCTACTGGGGGTGTCAAAAAAGAAGTCTACAAGTGGACCCTTTGGTCAGCGTTGCTCAAGCAGTAGTTTGCTGTAATCAGAAGTATCTGGACGCTGATGGGAACCACTTTGAGCACCTCTTGTAATTGCAGAAGTCAAACATTACTTGTATTCATCTTTTGTTATTGGTATATATTGACTATTAAAATTTTAATAGTTTTTTCCTTTCTTAAAATGTGCATACATTTTTTTTTTGGCACCTTCTGTATATACTCTGCAATTCTCAACGCCCCCCAGTTTTATAGAAAAGACCTCCACGGAGATAACCCCCTTTGAAAGGCAGCTTTATTTCCTACAGCAAAATTCCATCAAGACATTTAAAATCCATGTTTTCCTATAGAAACCTCTTGAGTGCTAAACAAACCATTTATCATTTGATTCTCAGAATTATGTGGTTATCAGTAGACAAAACTGAATACTTGGGGAAGTTTGAGTCCAGAAATCTATCTGGGTAAGTTATTAAATCTTTCTATCTTTGCCTCTCTCCCTCTCCTCTCTCCCCCACCCCACACACCAAATGAATAAACAAACAAACAAAATCTGGTATCTGATGAAAATATCTATTTCAAGTACCTGCTGTTTAAAATATGCCCTACTGGGGGGTGAGGGGTGGAAATCAACCCTTTAATTCATTTTTTTTAAAGCAATAAAATTAAAAGCAATTAAACTTAGGTGCCCTTATACAAAAGAACATGTGAGAATGCTCTGACTTGCATACCTGAGGTATGATTGACATTTTCTTCCTTAAATCGTGAAGTCCAATTTCAGTTGTCAAGATCTTATCAATCCAGATTTTACCTTCGGGTTCTGACAATCTAAAAAGGGCTGAGATGAGGGAACTTTTTCCAGCGCCTGTCCTTCCCACAATGCCAACCTGTAACGAGATCCAGGCGAGATTAGGAAAAAACAACATGCAACAGACCTAGGAGAAACCTTGGCTGTTGAAGGTGAATTAAAGAAGTTCCATATGGAGCGCAGTCTGTTTCTCAACTTTCACACTGTTGACATTTTGAGCCAGACAGCTCTTTGTGTGTATGGGGGCCGTCCTGTGCATTGCAGCCATGTTCGCCAGTATCCCAGGGTTATACCTACCAGACACCAGTAGCACCTCGAAATTGTGGTAACCAAAAATGTGAAGACACTGACAAATGTCCCTTAGGGTGGCAAACTGCCCCTGGTTGAAATTCACTGGTCTGAAGAAGAGTTACAAATAAAGAGAATCAATCTATTGGCAGTGAAAAGGCAGCAGTCTTCTGTTGGTGAGAAGTCAGCTTTTAAATTAGCTTTATTCCTGGGTCTGGGTATTCTGAACCTTGAGAATTTCTTGGATAATTTTATAGTGATGCCAACAAGTCAAGTCAAAAGTGTTATACATAAACAAGTATTCATTTTCCCAGAGTTCTATTACTGTTTGGTAGAGAAACCAAATCACTTCTGGATGTTAAATATCCAGGTTAAGTTCTGTCTTGAAAAGAAACATCTTAAAAATTCTTAATGCAGGTCTCAGCGTCTTAAAAGGCAGTCGTGAGTAGCTAAAATACACGTAACGAGATCAACAATAACAACGACACAGGTAACATTTTGCTATTTATATGGAGCCTTTCATCTGAGCAGTTCAAAAGGCATTTTACAAACCAGTTAATAGTTATAAATTGCCCCTTGGGAAAGATACGTGTCAAGTATCAGTCTAGTTATTAAAACCAAAGCTGAGAGAAATTAAGAGCACTGACAATAAGATCAAAGAATCAATATAATCAGGTAAAATGCTGGTCAAGAATGAAACTCTATTGTAAAAACTGGTTTTTAGCTGTGTGCATTTAAAATCCGTATGCAGAAACTGACTTTTTTTAAATTTTTTTATTAAACCAATGAGCTTCCCAACTGAAAATTCCCTGATGGGAGCTTCCCAGGAGATATCTCTATTTAGGAATCTGGAATCAATGAGGGGCCTAAGACATGCTTTCAATCATTTGCAAATTAATTCAGATTTTAAAAACTCACGGCTTTAAACATAGACCAACTAAACCTTTCTGAGCACTGCCTGTATGGTGGGAACTTTACATATTTTCTTATTTGAATACCTCCAAAGTTTTAAAGCTTCATCTGTAAAATCAATAATGGCATTTCAAAAAGAATTCATCTGTTTTATATGCAAATGAGGCAGCAAGTAATGAGGGACATGCATGAGTGCAAATATCCTCTGCTCACAAGCATGCTCCATTGTTCCATCAGACTTAACAAAACACAAGTTCAAAGATAAAATTATTAAGAATTTCAAGGTAGTGTCAGCAGGGCTTTTCAACCCCACACAGGACCCTTCTGAGCAGGACTCTGTCAACGGCACTCATTGCACACCAAGAAGCCAACCCTGCCTTTCATTCTTAAGTGGTGGTGTCAGGACTTGATTCAAGACACTGATTCCAGAGTCTAGGCTCTGAACCACTTTAACTACACAATCTCTCTTGACTATATTGCTTTTCTTACTGTATTCATTTAGCTTTTCATCTTTGCCACTACTTCCATGTCAAAATTATTGGTAATCATCACATGACTAGCTGAGTTTGACCCTTGGGCTACTTGGCATTCCTTTTATCAGACCTCAGTAAGTTCCCTGTCTGTCTCCATGGTAGCTATTGTAAACCATTTTCCTTTTCTTTTTTTTTTTTTTTAAAGATTTTATTGGGAAATTGGGGGAGGGGAACAGTGTTGGGGATTTGGGGAAGGGGCACAGCCAAGTTTTCCTTCAGTCTTAGTTGTGGAGGGCACAGCTAGCTCAGCTCCCAAGTCCAGTCGCCATCGCAGCTCGTGACCACTCAGCTCAAGGTGCCATGTTCAATCTTAGCTGTGGGTGGGCTTAGCCTACCGTCCCATGCGGAAGTCGAACCGGAAACCTTGTTGCTAAGAGCGCACGCTCTAGCCACTGAGCCATTCAGCCACCCATCAGCAGCTTAAGGCAGCTCAGCTCAAGGTGCCATGCTGAATCTTAACTGCAGGTGGGCATAGCTCATCATCCCATACGGGAGTCGAACCGGCAACCTTGTTGTTAGGAGCATGTGCTCTCACCAGCTGAGCCATCCTGCCACCTATTGGCAGCTCAATGGCAGCTCAGCTCGGGCGCAGCTCAGTGGCCCAGGTGGGAATCGAACCAGCGACCCTGTTGCTCAGAGCTCGCTCTCTTAACCAACTGAGCCACTCGGCTGGCCTATTGTAAACCATTTTCAAACCTCTTCCCTAAATTTGAGTCTCCTCATTCCCACTAAACTATAATTTTTCTATACTAATACATCATCTTAATTATGCATTTTGTCCAAATGATATATCAGAATTTACTCAGCCATTTTCCTATTGCTATACATTTATTTTTAATTTTCCTAACACTACAACGTTGTAGTGATTAGCATGCATCCCTTACCCTTACAAACTGAACTTGCCTCCAATTTTACAGAAGAAAATAGAACATATCAAGTGTGAAATCTTTCCTTCCCAAATTTATATATATATATCCTCATCTAAGTTCACACTTCCTGTCCCCAGCTGGGAAGCCGACTGTGAGAAGGAGCTTATCATTCAGGAAGTTCATTAGAGAATACTCTTAGGAACAACACCTGTGTGCGGTGGGAAGATATCCTTTTCTCTCAAAAAAGAATTTATCTTCATAGAGATTAAGTGTGAGAAAAAAAAATGGCTTGAGGTAATTTTATTATCTTGGTGGCCATTTTGTACTTTATGGTAAATCCTCATTTGTCTTTTATAGGCGGGCCATTTTCTACTTATAGGTGAGTCCTAGTGCATATATATGCATGGCTTAGGTGTGTTTCTATGTATTTCTGGGTGTTCTCATATGTAAATCAACACACATTAAGATACAGACAGGAACCATGACTCTGAGAATGTGTGCATTTTCTCATGCTATCAGCTCTATTGAAACTGATCTATGTGGAAATCGGGAACATTTGTAGACTTTGGGTAAATGGCCCCTATATGGCAGGGGGCACTGAGAGCTGCTCACGACCACAAGACTGTGAGCTCCAAACTCAAGCGGGGACAATAAGAAAAAGGCAACTCAGAGAAAAACTGGCTCTATTTCTCTCTGTAGTTCAGTCATCAAAACTATAGCCTTAGTCTTTCACAGGTTGCTAATGGTTTTTACTAGCTGCCCATGGAGAGTATCATCAATATCAGTAAGTTTACATTCATAATATCAAAGAGACACTTTGAGATAGTCTTATTTCAGCTGCTCTGCAGCTGCACCTTTATGTTTTCTCAACAAGGCCAAGGTTGGCCTCTGACGACCACACCAACGTATTAGACATTTGCACCTGGATCTCTCTTCAGACATCAAATTCAACATAACTAATATCCAATGCCCCACTCACAACAGCTGCTCCTTCTGACTTCCTCACTTTAATCTTATAACATCGTTTCCAGCCTCACAGGCTCAAAGCATTCACCTTATTTCTAGCTTTTTCCAACTCCAGCACGGCCCTGAAGATTCTACTTTAGCAATGTTACACAACCCAATCCCCTCATTTTAATGCCCCTAGTCACCATCTCTGTGCAAAGATGTATTGCCTTTTAAAAAAGAAAACAAACCCTTTTCTTAATCATAATCAGTGCAAGTAAATTTGAAAAGTAAAAAAATACTAGCAGTAACCCCAGCACTCTGATAAAATCATTCTTAAAATGTGGATGTATTTTCTTTCTGGGCACATGCGCTCGCGTGTGTATGTTTTCTTAAAAATACTAGCTCATATATTTAAACAAAATGGGATTAATATGAATATAGTTATAATCTGCTTTCATTTACTATTTCATAAAAACATTTAATGGCTATGTAATATTACAGTATGTGATCATTTATTTAACAAACCTCCTATTTGTAGATATTTTGCTATTATAAATAACTCTGTTAAATATCCTTGAAGTCTCTGCAAACAACCTTAATTATTTCCTTAAGATAAATTCTTAGATGTGGAATTGCTGAGAAACAGGTATGAACATTTTCAAAGGAGGCTGTTAAGTACTGCCAAACTACCCTCCAGAAATATGCCATCAATTTCTACTCCCACCCATTTCCCTGCACATTCACAAACCTGGGTGTCATAACTTTGTTTTAATTGCCATCGGTTCGATTCCAAAAAGTGGATTCACTTTCCCCATTACGTCTTGCTAGGAGTACATAATAGCTAGTGGCTTCCTGGCTCTCGCATCTTCCCACTAGTCCACATGCACTCACTTCTCAGGTTAAACTCCCGAAAGACAGCTCTGTGCCTGCCTATGTCCTGGGAAGTCTTTTCTTACAAAACTGCCCCCAGCTAACCTCTCTCTCCGTCCTTAATCTCCATGAGTCCACTTCCTAAGGGTTTCTACGTAGTTGTGAGGATTCAACATGAAAATGTGTGTTATAAACCTGGTAGTTCATTTCCCTGAGGGCTCTGCAGGTGTCCAATTCTCCCTTCATTGAATCGAGGCATCCTGCCTTTGCTTATGCTGGTCCCACCACCTGGAATGCCTCTCATGCGCATTGCTACCTGCTGAAATCCTAGCCACATGTCACCAAGTCTGTCTCGAATGCCTAATTTCTCAGAAATGCTCTACCTGTCCCCTCATGTAGACTTCTCCCACCCCAACAGATGTTATATCATCTTTTTCTAAACTTCCATAAAAATTGTGACTTCTTTCTATCTTATATAGAAGCCATTTTTATACTACCTCGTTGCTTCTACTGGACTGTGTGTGTTGAGAGCAGATCTGTCTTAGGTTCACCTTGGTATTATTTGTATTACCTGTGGTGTCCTACACAAAAGAGGCATTTCGTAGAGAGTTGAGGAGTCTACCTCAGCCTGGAGAAATTTATGGAAAATCTATCACCATACTGTTTCGATATACAATAAGCTGGAAAGAGAAGACAGACATGGCAGATGGATTCTATAACCATAAATAAAATTGTAAATAGCCAACTCCTCATTTTCATGGGGCAGACAACAATTTACGCAGGGTAAGAGGTTATGAGCATTTTTACACCCCATGATATTGACAGCTATCTTTGTCCAAACATTTACTCTGTGCTGGTCTCGATGCTAGGTGCATTTCATGCCTTATCCTGTTTAAGCTATACAATAACCCTACAGGTTACATCTTATTACTTCCATTTTGCAAGACAGAAGAGCGAGGCTTCGTAAGATTAATTAGCCTGCCTGAAATAACAGAACCCAGAAGTGGCAGGACGGGACTCAAACCCAGGTCTGTCTGCCTCTTTTCCATTCTGCTCATGGCCTCCTTATCACTTGGATGACCTGGCACCTTATTATGTCCTTCTGTCTAGCCAGAGGAAGTGCGGAGAGGTGTAGCTACGGTTAAAGGAACTGGTCTACCAAATGGATCTTATTGCCAGATAGTTAAAGCATGATATGGATATGGGTGTATATTGTGGTGGTGGGACAAGACAGCAGATCTCTCTACCCAAGGTCAGGTGGGCTGGCTGTTAACAGGAAGAAATAGCACTCACAGTTGGGGCTAGGGGAGAAACCTGCAGCTACTTGGGGCACAACGTACCTGGGAAACAGGTCAGACAGACATAGTACCCTGCTTGGGGCAGTGAGACTAATTTTTGATCCCATCAGGTGGGAAAGGACCTCAAGTATATTGCTACACTTGGCTGTCCCTGCCTCCTGGTCCAGGCAGGGCCCAGCCCAGCTGATGGTGAAATACCTCTAGTCCCTGCAGGAGGCTGGTATGGGGAAGGCTGGACAACAGGATGAAAACTGTGCGTGATGAAGATAGTCTACACTGAAAAGAAACTTGGAATCACACAGAGTTAGATTATAATATAAACTCATGATTTGCAGACTATGAAAGTAAATAAATCTATAGGGTGGTAAATGGCAAAGAACTTTCTAGAGCATTGTGCTCAGTCATAGGGATTGGATTAATTCATGAGCTCAATTTCAAATTGTCAAAGGACATTTTTTGGAAATCATGGGTTATCAGTCATCAAAAACTGCCTATAGGAGAGAGAGAACTTTACCAGGGGGTATCGTTCCAATGGGATTCTGAGTCAAGAGGTCTGGGGGTTTGAGATCCTGCACTCTAAGAAGCTCGCAGGTGATGGAGATGCTGCTGGCCCTGGCGCCACAGCTTGAGTAACAAGGAACTAGAAAGCCGGCATGGGAAGCAAAACAATCTGGGAGCGAGGGGAGGGATTTCTAAGAAAGTAGAATGTAAAACTGGATAAAATGTAGGAAACTAATATTTTTGCACATTATAGCAAGGTCTAGTACACATCTATAAAAATGTATTATGCAAGTAATAGCTCTGAGCAAGAAAAAAAATAATAAACCAAAATCAATCTACCTCTAAAGCTGGAAAATGTTTTAAAATGGCCCAGTACTCTTCTAAAATGATCAAATCAACCACAAAATCATCTAAATGAAAAAATGCAGCCAGTGTTTAGACTCTAACCAGGAAGCCAAAGGTGCTTTTTACCTCATTTTGGTTCTTTATTTTTACTGGGTATTTCTTCTGTGAATTAGTATCCTGCTTAGTACCTATTAGATTTTCTCGTTTACCCTAACTGCCAGGAATCTGGACAGCAGAGGAAATAAATGAAAGAGAATAAAACACCGTTTCTGCTGTGTTGGCACATTCCCATGTCCTTCCCTGCAACAGCCTCTCACTATCAAATGCAAGACCGAAGGGGTGTCCCGGAATCATGGGGGGCTGGCACAGGGATGGAGGCGATGAAACCTGGGGTCTTCGCAGGCACAGTGAAATCATTTCATGACTCCACTGGCTGGATACAATCTCTGAATACATAAATGAAACTAAAGGTGATACTGTGAGTGGAGCAAGACACAAATCAAAAGATAAGTTATTGAAGTTACCATAATTCAGTCTCCAAATTGAATTCTCCCTCAAACCTTTTAGAATCTCAGATAATCCTATATGCCCTGGGGGTTTCAAGATTGAAGAATACGAATCTGTTACGTTTCTAAGTTGTACAACAGTTTCTTAGATAATTCATGTTTTATGGTTTCAAGGGAAATTTAAGACATGTACAAATTAACAGAATTATGTTTAGAATGTGAAATCTGATGGACACATTGTCTGCCAGTCAACAAACATCCCTCACAGTGCTCTTAGCGACAGAATTTCATCAAGAGCTGCAGTTAATGTTTTCCCGACACAGCAGTCCTCACCTTCTTCCCGACCTACAGGAAAACTGGAAATAATTAGGAGCCAGCTTTTGCCACATGACTCACTAAAAGCTGCTCCCTGGGTATCATTTGGGCATTAAGTTGAAACTTTATTCTTTCATGTCACAAGGGTATCATTCATTAAATTACGGCTATAGTCCACTAAATCGGTCTGTGGTGGAAAGAGAGCTTAAAAGAGCCATTCTTAACGTAGTTAACACATCTAGGTAATGGGTTGTTTACAGGAGTTGTCTTGTGTGTATGTTTTTTTTACTGGTTGCTTCATACCTGCATATTAATCACTCACTCTCCCAGCACCCACTGTGTGCCCTGCAGAATGCCATTTTCTAGAGCACAAAAGCAAAAATAAATGCTCCTTGACCTTAAGAAGCCTCACGGTACTGTGAGCTACAGACCCAAAATTGCAAAGCATGCCACCAAGTGCTAGCTTTTATTATTTAATTGCGGTAAAATATACATAACATAAAATTTGCCAACTTAACCATTTTTTTAAGTATATAGTTCAGTAGAGTTAAGTACATTCACATTTTTGGTGCAAGTAATCTCCAGAATTATTTTTCCTTTGCAACATAAAACTCTGTACCCATTAAACACTAACTCCCCATTCACCAGTACTCCTAACCCCTGGCAACCACCATTCTACTTTCCGTCTCTGTGAAACTGACTATTCTAGTAACCCCATATAAGTGGAATCATATGGCATTTGTTCTTTTGTGCCTGGCATATTTCATTTAGCATAATGTCTTCAAGGCTCATCCATTTCTTTCATTTTTAATGCTGAATAATATTCCATTAGATGGCTGTACCACATTTTATCCATTCATTGCTTGATGGACATTTGGGTTGCTTCCAATTTTTGGCTACTGTGACTAATCCTGCTATGAACATGCATGAATACAAATGCTGCCTTAAAAGAATACATAAGGGGCCGGCCGAGTGGCGCGATGGTTAAGAACTGGCTTGGGACGCCAGAGGGCCCCGGTTTGGATCCGACATATGAGGGCCAGTGACACTGCCCTCCACAGCTAAGATGCTGAACAACAGCTCAACCTGGAGCTGGGCTGCCATGAGTCGCTGGCGACAGCGTAGGCTGCAGCCCCTGTGGCAGTGGGTTGCCATGGGCTACCGTATGTAGCCAGCAGCCGGCGTGAGCAGCCGGCAGCCGCGATGAGTGGCCAGCAGCCAGCATGAGCGGCCGTCCAGAAGCCGGCAACTGATCTGCCTCGCCTGGGAAGAGCGCGATGATGGTGCCAACTTGGGCCAGTGAAGCAACATCCTCCACAACTAGACTGAAGAACAAAACGACAGCAACTTGTCTGTTCCCCTTCCCCCAATTCCCCAGCACTGTCCCCATCCCCCCAATTCCCCAATAAAAATCTTTAAAAAAAAAAAAAAAGAATACATAAGACACTGTGGAAGAATTCAGACTCTCACAGAGGCAGATGCATTAGAGATGACTCTGAAAACAAGGAGACTCGCCAGCCAGACGATTGAAGGGGAGGAAGGGTCTCTGAGGTAACGGGGCAGCATGCATGCTGGGAGCTGGAAGGACGGGATGCTTTGGGACAACCTACACACTAACTGTGTGTGTGCATGTTAGAGTGGACGCTGGAAAAATAGGAAGGAGAAGAGCTTCCTATAGCCTCATCTGTTCTGGATTAGTCACTCTTCAAGGGCCTGCTCTGGTCCCAGCTGAGGGCCCCAAGTCCCACTGCCGGTGGACTTAGACACTGGCAAGACTAGGTCACAAACCTCTCATCGGTCTCCCTCGTGTATCATGGCTCTGCAAACTTGGGTTCCTTTCATCGACTTTCAATGAGTCTCTGGGCCCTTTTCTGCCTCCAGCTGTGGGCTCTGGGTCTTAAGCCCTGACTGGGTTATGGATGCCAGAGTCTTCTCTGGTGGCTGAGAACTGGCCACACAGCCCCTGCTGGAGTGGATATGAGGCCTCACTATGGTTCCAGCAGCGGCTCTCCCAGGCCAGGAGCTAGCCAGGGAGCCCATAAGGATCAGGTCTTTGTTTCAGAAGGCAGCTGCCTATGGGTGGGAGGGCAGGGGAACAACAGCCACGTATGGGTTAGAAGAGGGCAAGTCTATGGAACAGGCCAAGGGACAGAGGAAGACTGCAACTGAAGGCTGCCATGAAGGGGGTTGGGTGGATGGAGGAGTGAAGGATTAGAGAAATACAAAGAAGTTAGAATCGACAGGAACTAGATAGATATTGGAGGGTTAGTGACAAGGGGCCAGAGTTAACTTCCAAGGCTTAGGCAGGAATAATTAGATGTTGGATTGAGTACCCTGAGTCAGGTCAAGTTCCAGCCCTGCAACCCAGGGCTCACCAACCACAATGACGCAGCTCACAATTGGAGGAAAGAAATGTTGGTATCCACATTCGTGGTCAGTTTCCAAGAGACTTACCTATTTATTACCACTGATCTAATTGGCGTCTGCAGAGGAACAAGGAGTCCCTTTGCCCACAAGCAGATGTGGCACTGAATCTTTAGTGGAAATTTTAGAGAGGCATGAGAGTTTAAACACACCTTTTCTCTTGATTTAATGAGCGCTGTCAGGTGTTTTAATACCACAGGTCCGTCTAAACTGTACGTGAAGTTAACATTGTCAAAGACAATGACTCCTTCATGGGGCCAGGCCGGTGGCGGACGTTTTGGATATTCCCAAGGAGCTTCCTTCTCCAGGTCTGTATATTCCATCACCCTTTCTACTGAAATCATCTGAAAGACATATGATATTGCATGGGTTAGGAACGGAGGGTTTTGTTTACGAATGTTAAGTGATAGTATATGAAACTTTCTACTTTTATACCTGGTTGGTTAAAGATATATCAGGACTTAACATCCCCAAAGGAGAGAACTAAGAGTTTAATGAGGATTTTGGCGGTTTACAAACTTGTTCATCATCTTATGACACTTTTACTTATCGCTACTTCCCTCAAGATTAGAATAAAACTAAAAAAGTTTTATATCAATAAAAATTAGAGGATTTTGTCCAAGAAAAGAATACTACAGCCACCAATCAGTAATTTATGCTACAGAAGAGTCATCTGTTACAGGTGAATTAAACTGGATGGTCATCAAACCTCATTTTAACAGTCACTTTCTACTCTATTCGAAGGGTAAAATCAACCGATTTTACTTTTATTGTTTTTCTCCCTTTAGGAGAAGGTGTAAATATTCAAAAGAGGAGATAACTTACATATTGACCAAGCCCTCCTAAACAAACGTAACTCAACATCTCTGACTAGCACATTCCAAGAGGGAGCTTATCCCACCAAAAAGAAGGGACTCGAGCAAATTCAGGTGATACATACAAGAATCAATACTAAAATGGGGGAGAACTTACTAATTAAATAAACAACCTCAAAATATTACATTTTTCTTTTACCAAGAACGAGGAATTACCCATTAAAAAAAGAAAAATAAAGAGGCCTCTAAAAAACGAGCCTATATCCTCTCCAGGATTTGAGAACCTCCCTCCTACAGAGACATTTATTACATTTGAAGACAGCTTGTGATGAATATAAAACCTGCTGACATAGCATACATAAGACTGAGAAAAAGATGTATATATTTGATTTTACATTAACTTTAAACAGATGGAAGAAGGATCTAAAAAGCTCTGTTAGCTACGATGTAAAAATAACAGTTTTAATATTTTACATAAGAAGTACTTTTATGCTATTTAACGGCGAGGAGACTTGAAAAGGCTAAGAATGTTAAGATAAACATTACCATATTCTCAACTTCAGCACTTTGCCTGACACACCACTGGAACGTCCCCATGAGGGTCAGGGCGTAGGACAATGCCAGGCCAACCTGTCCAGCATCCAAAGCTAAATGAGGAAAAAGACGAAGAAGAAAGTCAGTCCCATTCTTAACCAGGAGCCTGGCTCCTTCTGTCACTTTACCAAGACTCCTTCATAACAGTCAAATACTTTGCATATAATTATAGTAATAGTTATACTTTTCACTATCTATTGACTGAGACCACGACACAAAAAAAACGCAACCCCCAAAATAAACAAACAAACAAACAAAACCACTATGAATTCAGAAAGACTATTAAATGAGTTTATTAACCCCAACAGGAATTGACATACACTTGCCAGTGTTATATAGGTGAGGAAGTTATGACTTAGATTTTCATTACTATGGTTTTAAGGGCCATTATGTAATTTCACTTTCTACATCCAATGCAACTACAGGTGAAAACCACTAAAAACAAGGCAATGGGTACTAAGAGCCAGTGCTTTTAAATCTAAACTCCTACTCTCATTGCTCCACTATTAAATATTGTGATTTGGTGTTTGTTATCACTAAGGAATACTTAGGGGTGGTGAGTTCATGCCACTCACTCCAACACCTGCTCATTTGGTACCCACGTGGCAGCGAGGATAACATCCTCTCTTGCTGAGAATCTTTCTCAACCCAGCGCACCAAGCACCTACAATCAAAAGATCTGAAGAGTCCCGAAGCTAAAAGCTAAAGCCTTAAGCTGGACAAAATACTCAATAGTAAATTTGGTCCTCTCCTCACCATACCGGACACCAGGATGTTCAGAAGGTCAGCTTGCTACATTTGCATAGGTCTCAACCCATTCAAGAAAGATAAAAGAATTCACCCAGATGCAAATGACACCTGTACATGGGCCACATCATGGGGTCACCCCCAGCCTGACCCACTGCAAGCGTTTTAATATAATTCACAAGAACCAAACAGCATACGATTTAGACAAGGTGGCAAGAGTTTAATTTAAAAAACTGTAAGTGCAGCTATAAATTGTAATCATACCACAAATAGTTTTTCACATCTGTACTTACTTTTTGCCAGAATCAGGGACCCAAAGGCAACAACAATGACAAAGATGGCACAGATGGCATCCAGACGTACGGCGAACCATCGGGACGTTGTCAAAAACAAGAACCAAGCCTCTGGGTTTGTGAACCGTAATAAGCACAATGAATAAGGAGAAAAACCACATTAACTGCTTTGAACAAGGCGGAGCGTTTTGCTCAGTAGAGCTACAGAAGATTTTTACACAAAGTAGGACGGCAAAGTTGCACACCCGAGGAATCCGAAAATTCCAGAAAGCTAAGTGTGAGTCAGTACAGTGGCTTTATGGGAAGCATGCACTGAAAAATTCAGCCACAGGTTATAAAGAGAAATGTGATCAAACTACAGAATATGGAAAAATGATCACGTCAGTGCATTTCGTGTGGTGCTGAGTTTCAGTGTAAAGCTCATCCTTTCATAGGACTGACTGTTCCCAGTTCTCCAGCAGCAGGAAGTGTAGTTCCTTGTTTCCAGGACCTTCCATATTTACTACAGGGCCCTGCACAGTGTTTATTCCTTAGGAGCCTGTATCTAAACGACCATCTTGCTAAAAGGATCTGCATGTGGCTCTTAAAGTGACATTTTATCTTCAAAATATGGTGGAGATTGGAAAGATGAGCCAGGACTTGGCAGACTTAGAGTAAATTCTGAAATTTCTACATAAAAAAAGCTTCACTGATACAAAGAATACTATACATCAAATGAGTGGCAAATCTCATGATCAGGAATTTGATTTTCTTGGTCACTTCTGCCACCCTGCATGCTCTGAAAAAAGAGCTGGCAAACTACAGAATGTGGGCCAAATCACCTGTTTTAGTAAATAAAGCTTGACTGGAACACAGCTGCTGCCATTTGCATTATCTTTGCCTGCATTTATGCTACATCAACAAAGTTTAGTAGTTGCAACAGAGGAATATAGCACACTAAACTGAAATATTTACTATCTGATCCTTTATAAAAAAGTTTGCCAAATCCTGCCCTAAACAAACAGAAAGCCACAGGGCTTGGTGCTAGAAGGACAACGCAAGCCAGGCGGGGGAGAAAAGCAGGGGTGTGACTGGGGGAGAGGGGGGTGCATAGGGGATTCTGACAGGACTCATGGCCAAGGGGAAGGGGAAGGGAGGAAGATGTGCAGACAGGAGGTGGGCTGGGCCTGAGGAGGAAGCAGAGAGAAGTGGCCAGCAAGGCCACCAGAGAAGGAGGGTAAGCCTCAGAAAATAGCTTATCCCATCCTTTGAAACTGTTTCCAGAAACTTACAGACCTGAATGCAAATCCTGGTGAGCATCAAACAGTTCCTGAAACCTCTCTTCAGTTTTGTGTGCCCTGATGGTCCAGAGTCCCTGGAGAGAAGACGATAGGTGGGAAAATACTGGGCTCCGTGCTGGGGAGGCAGAGAAAGACAAATGACAGAGAAAGTCAGTGAGGCTGGATGCAAAAAAAAAAAAAAAGCCTCCTGTGCTGGGTGGTCACACGTCCACCAAATAGCACACCCCTTCCCAGTGGGTAGCCTAGGGGAGAAGGGACTATGTCCCTCCTGGAGAGGACCTTCCATGTCACCCCTCAAACTCCTGATCACACCATGCTTCACTTTAATGACCTGGAAATAAAAGCTTCTCTGTGAATCTATCTTTGACTAAATTCAAATCATAGCTAGATTTAGATTTCTTTCTTTGCTAACTCATTCATCAAGGTCTTCCTCAACATGGCCTCCCTCCATATTCTTCCTTCACATCCCTCGTGGCAGAAATTATTGCTAATTTTGAGTCGGTAGCGTTTTTAAATTTAATGTTCTATTAAAGAACTCACTACACTGAATTATGATTAACTATCTAGGTGTCTGTCTCCACCTTAGATTATTAACTTAAGGATTGGGATAAAGTCAATAGCATATCCCCCAAACTGGAACAGTGCCTGGCACAGGACAGGTGAGTGATAAATAAGGTGAATGGACAGTCGGCTATCTCCCTGCATCCTGAAAAGCCTACCTGTGCCTGCTGGTGCACTGAGCTTTCTGTATGGGTCACTGCACACCTGGGTGCTGCACTGCCCTTGTGCCCACAGGACCTGTACTGCCAAGGTGTCTTTGAATAGTTTTAATTTCATCACCAGAAGCCTGATGGATATTTTTATAACTGTCCGGCCAGATGCTTGTCCTGGTGTTTGGAAGTCACTACGGCATGTGACAATGACATCATCCTTTCAGAATCTGACTGTGGCCTTAGTGGCCATTCTCTTTTGAGTAACTATGTTGGTTTGGGGACTGATGTCAAATGTCTGGCCACTGGTTTCCCTGCCATCTTCTCTGAGAGCACAGTGTGTCTGGGTGCCAGGGTCTGGCGCCTGCACACTGAGGAACAGGTGGGCTGCTGGGCAGGGACAATTCCTTATGGTTTTCATTCATTCTCCACCATGAATGAGGCTGTGACTAGTTATTGTAAGAGGCAGATCGTGAGCCTGTGATCTCTGTCTGGATGGAGTAATAATCTCTGCTTTATCAGAGGTACTGACTTATCACTTTGTTACCTATGAATCTCCTAGAGAAGACCTGTTAGTAAAACCTGGGTGTTTAGGGGAAATTGAGATCACTTATCTTACAGAAGACTGCAGAGATTTTATATAATGATGGGGAAAAGGAGTCAAGGGAAAAACTCAAACTGATTTTCAGGGCTTGACTCCCTAGCCTGGCATCTGAATACCTGACTGTGTGTCAGTTCAGTCAATACTGATGTATATGTGGGACTGTGCGTGTGTCTGTGTGTGTGTGTATGTGTGTGTGTGTGTGTGTGTATACGAGGGGTCCTGGGGGGGAAATGTGCAGGCATAGAACCTCCTCTTATTCTTAGTATCCAGGTCTACAAGTAAGGAAGGAGCAAGCTTCCACGCGTGACATGGGCTCACAGAAGGTGGGAAGCCCTGGGCTGTGGGAGGACAGCCTGGGCTGTGGGCCTGCTGACTCTCCACTCAGCCCTGGGGCTTTTCTCTAACTGTGGACATTAACCATTAGGGACTCTCACCTGTGATAGTGCTTTAGGGAAAGAAAAAACCTTCTCTGAGCTAACATTTTCCCTTGCATCTAATTTAAGCAAAGAGCCGTAAGTGATTGTGGGATGGTCTGACCTGCCAGCTATATGTTTGTGATCTTGCTGTACCGTCTACCCTGTTCCCCCTCTTCATTATATTGAGTAATCTTTAACTTGTATTTATTTTAGCTTCCTTCAACTTTATACTGTGAAGATAGCAATATGAATACAGACTGAACTCATGCTTCAATTTAGAAAGGCTGGAAGTTCTGTATAAGGCCTTTTCTGCACTCCCCAGCAGATGTCCCAACCTGTCCCCAGAACGTAGTCAATGTGGATACAGGGTGCTCACAGGGGCGGTTCAGGAGAATTCCAGGGCCCACTATTCTATCCAGAGAGTGCTAAGAGTCCAGCTCCAGACAGTACAGAGAACTCACTAGAACCATGTTCCCATGTCCAGAGCAAATGTGGCATAAAATATAATATTTCATCACAGGCAATTCTTCTCAGGAAAAAGTAGATATGCTGTTCACCCAAGGGGAGCCTTTAAATGAAATTCTTCAGCTTGGATATCCTCACTTGCTTTTCTCATCAGGAAAGCAAAATGGGAGCTGATCATCTGGCAGGGTCAACTTTAGAAATCAGGTGTCTCTCACAAAGACTTGAACACCAGGGCACCCAAAGAACATGTCCCCTACTTTATTTACCTCATACCCAAGAGTTACAGCAGTACAGCAGGAATCTGAACCTGTGAAAATCTATCTTGTTTCTTTCACACTCCACTTAGGGCTGAGTGTGATGCCAGGAGGAGTGAATTGGAGGGTCTGTAAAGAAAATCAACTAGCACAAGAGGGAGAGGGGATGCCAGGGCTCCAGTGTTATCTTGACCAATATCCTTTTCACACAGACTGAGCAGGCTATCCTACGGCATTAGTCAGCAGTCACAGACAAATGTAACCATGTAACCCTACATTACACAAGATTGACAGGCGTGTTTTCCATGACCCTGAAGACTCTTTGTGACATACCCCACAAGGGCTGCAAATCTGCTCTGGGGAGGGGAAGGGCAGAGAACTACATGAAAAGACCCTGGGCTGAGAGCCTTGCTACAGGTTATCATTAATGCTCTGCGAGACCTGCTAGTTGCTATTGGATTGTCGGGAAAGTCATGACGTATTTTGTCTATGTTTTTCAAAGGTCATTTATTTATATAAAGAACAAAGATCAATGATATATTGCTCATTTTGTTCGATAACCTTTTGCCATCTTTCAGTGAGTTTCATAATTCCTCATTCATAGAAGGATCTGTCTTTATTTGTGAAAAACTGAACAAGGTGCTGATTTACAGTCTCATCTGAATTGAGCGTTATACCACACAAGGAGTTTTGAAGAGAGCGAAACAAGTGGAAGTCTGATGGCACAAGGTCAGGCGAGTATGGTGGGTGTGAGAACACATCCTATCCAAGCGCCAATAATTTTGACAAGTGATCAAACTTGTGTGTGGTCTCACGTTGTCGCAACGGAACATAACTCTTTTACAATTAACTAGTTCTGGACGTTTCTGAATGATGGATTCGTTCAAACTGTCCATTTTCCCACAGTACACATTTGAATTGATTGCTTGGTTCCTTGGTAGAAGCTCGAAACACATGACACCTTTAAAATTCCACCACACTGAAAGCATAACCTTCCTCAGTGAATGTCTGCTTTCAATGTTGTTTGAGGCAAATCATCATGTCGGGACCAAGACCGTCTGTGCACCACATTGTTGCAAACAATCCACTTCTCATCACCAGTTATCAGTCGCTTCAAAAAAGGATCATTTTCCTCACGTTTAATGAGCATATTGCAGATGTTTATATGCACCATCAAATGAACTTCTTTGAGTTTGTGCGGAACCCAAATATCGAGCTTGCTTACGTATCCCAGCTTCTTGAGGTGGTCATGAAAGCTTGAATGATGGATGTTCAATGTTTCTGAAATCTCTTGTGTCATGTAACGTGGGTTTGACTCGAACAATGCCTTTATTTTGTCATCATCAACCTCGGTGGGCCTTCCTGACCGAGGAGCGTCATTGAGATAAAAATCACCAGCATGGAATTTCGTGAACCATCGCATGCACTGACATTCTTGTAGAGCATGGTCACTGTAAACTTTATGCAACTTTTCACAAGCTTGATGTGTGTTCTTCCCTTTATGGAAGTAAAGCAGCAAAATATGGCAAAAATGCACAGTCTACTCTTCCATCTTCAACTTGTTGCAAAATCTCCAAATCTCAACCAAATCGCTCAAATATTTTTTAGAATGAAGCTAGAACTGTCAACTGTCAAACAACATAGCAATAACATAGATGCAAATGACTCTAATATTTCCAAAAATGAACTAGTGCCATCTGTTGCAAACATGCGTCATGACTTTTCTGACAACCCAATGTTATGTTCTTAACTGCCTCATGGTCAAGGTTCTAGAGCTAGCAAACACTTTTCAAGCATCAATTGAAGCAATCCTCACAGGAAACCCAGAGGGCAGGTATATTATATCCTTGACAGAGAGAAAAACAGACTGAGGGATTAAGAGCATTGCCCAAGATTAAGTAAATTAACACAACTGATGGAGCTGAGTGTCAGACCCAACTCTGATTTATTCCCAAGGCTATACTTTTAATCACAGCCAGTGTCTCAGACAGAGAATAATCAGGGGTTAAAGATGCCCATGTGTGACTCAATACATTCTTCTGCAGATTTTGCATCTTTAGAAAACCCTAAATCTTAGCTAATATTCAATAGCCTTACCCATCACTGTACATCTTATTAAGCACCTTAGTTGAACAAAGTCCCTAAGAATCGGCATGAGAACTCTCAAACAGCAGACTTGAGGATCTATGGCCTGAAAACATGTGGCACACATGTTAACACTCCTCTAGCAATGCCCCTCACAGACATTGCTAGTTGATCACAGAACCCTTACTGACAGAATTTGGATATAGCTTCATAATTCAGGCATTGCCAAATGAATAGAGTTGGCTAGAGAAATACAACCCAATGCCATACTGGTTTTATGCATTTCTGTATGACTGAGTGTTGCTATGCTCACTTTTGCAAAAATAAAAAACCATTATGATCAACTGTAGATTTTTCCTTAAGACGGCTTAAATGTCAGCCTAAGGTTCCAGAGGCAGCTAGGCAGTATGATCTGCAAATAAACCTTGGGACTTTAGTAGTACTTCAAAGCACAAGGATGAAGGAAGTTTATGTTTTCTAGCCATGGCAATCAGGTGTCTTTCTTTTTGCTGGTGGTTCCAGCAGTAGCCTCAAGAGGTACTATCAATCACTGTTTAGAGGAAACAGTAGAATTGTTATTT